TGTGTGTGTGTGTGTGTGTGTGTGTGTGTGTGTGTGTGTGTGTGTTAATCAATTATTTATTTAACCTTTATTTAACCAGGCAAATCCCATTGAGATCACAGATCTCTTTTGCAAGGAAGGCCTGAAGGCAGCCTAACATGCATGTTTTGGTCTGTGGGAGGAAAGCGGAGTACCTGGAGAAAACCCAAGCAAGAACGAGAAGAACATGCAAACTCCACACAGAAAGACCCCCGGTCCAACCGGGGATTGAAGGCGGCTGTGGCTGAGTGGTTAGAGCAGTCGTCCTCCAATGCGAGAGTTGGGGGTTCGAATCCACCAGCAGTCACATGCTAAAGTGTCCCTGGGCAAGACACTGAACTGCCTCTGATGTGTGTCCCATTAGTGTATGAATGTGATCTAAAGCACTGGTTAGTCTCATTAGAATGATTTGTTCAATTAGCTTTGTACAGATCTAGTAGAGTGCTGTATGAATGGGTAAATGAGGCACAGATTGTAGTGTAAAGAGCTTTGAGTATCTTGAAATAAGATAGAAAGGCGCTATATAAGTACAGTCCATTCACCATTGAACCCAGGACCTTCTTGCTGTGAGGCAACAGTGCTAACCACTGAGCCATCTGTTGTATACAGGGGGCTCTGGTGTAGATAAACCCAATGGTGCAGGCAGGCAGTCCAGAACTCAGGAGATATATTAAATGAAGGATTTATTTAGAATAAATAACAGAAAAGGCTGACAGGGCAGCAAAAATGCACATAAATGATCCAGGGGTGCATAGGGAGTATACAGGACATCACCAGAGGACAGTTTACAATGCCAGGACAAAGGACTAACACAGAGACACAGACTTGTATACTGTGACTAACAAGATAAAACACCTGTGAGGACACAGCTGAAACACATCCTGGAAAATGATAAACTGGGAAACCAGGGAGTGCAGGAACAGTGACCCAACACCAGATGGAGGCATACACTAGGAGAACCCATCCATCCATCCATTTTCTTTACCCGTTTATTCCATTTTGGGTCACGGGGGTCGCTGGTGCCCATGTCCAGCAATCACTGTGCGAGGGGCGGGGTACACCCTGGACGGGTCGCAAGTCCATCACAGGGCCACATAGAGACAAACGAGACAAACAACCATTCACTCTCTCACTCACACCTAGGGACAATTTTAGAGTTACCAATCAGCCTAACATGCATGTTTTTGGTCTGTGGGAGGAAACCGGAGCACCCGGAGAAAACCCACGCATGCACGGAGAGAACATGCAAACTCCACCCAGAGGGCCCCTGGACCGGGGTTTGAACCAGGGACCTGCTCGCTGAGAGGCAGCAGCTCTACCAGTTGCGCCACCGTGCTGCCCACTAGGAGAACACAAACTCTTAAAGACAGAACCTAAGGATTAGAAGAACACAGGACATAAACATAACACAAGATGGGGCTAGAGACCAAGACACAAATCATAATCCCTACACCATAGTGCCGAGTACCCCGATCATTTGAGGAAGATGTACTTTTTAGTTTTTATATTGCTTAAAAAGTATAGTTTATTAATATGTGGGGGCCAAGACCACCACTGGCCACCCCCTGGCTCCACTATTGCACCTGGTGGTGGATAAAATGGCTCCAGGATCCGTCACTCTGCTGCCTCGGATAAGAAAACAAACCTCCCTCTGTTCTCCTCCACACTTGAGTATCTTGCACCAAAAATATTTAGATTAATTTACATTGTCTGTTAAATTCCAGTCCAGAAAAACACTCATCTCATAAACTACCAATATTCACTGTTCAAATCCCTCATCCATGGTGGACATCAGCGCACCGCTTTTTACACTAATGATGCTGTTAGTCTGTGGTCTAAAATGTGTGTTAACGTTGTTATTTTCCTGCTAGGCATCCTGATATTTGATAAATATAGAAAAGCGCTAACTTGTCCTTTTAATGTTGTTTGTAGAACCAACGACTGTCCCGACGAAACGCTGAGGTGTCTTTTGTCTTCATCACCGACGGCATCACATCCAGCGAACAGCTCGATGAGGGCGTAAGTGCCATGAAGAGGGCAGAGGGCGTCCCCACACTGATCGCCTTGGGAGGCGACACCGACGAGGAGGTGCTGCACAAGGTGTCGCTGGGCGATAGATCGGCCATCTTTAGAGGCAACGACTTCAGCATGCTCAGCAAACTTTCATTCTTTGAGCGCTTCATGCGCTGGATTTGCTAGTGAGGACCTGCAGTGCTCGACACCCCTGAGTTAGACACTGAGTGACAGACGGATCAGAACCTTTAGTGTACACACACAGAGAGGCAGCACTCTCTGTCATTACCATTCCAGGATGTAACGCACTGCCAGGGCTGCATCTCCTGTCGGTGTGAACGAAAAGCTGTTACAAAAGTCAAATAACCCAGGCAGGACCAACACCTTTACACACACACACACATGCACAAACACACACACATGCACAAGCACACACACACACACAAATACACACAGCACCATTTGTGTCCTTCTGAATCTTTTGTTAGCATTTTAAAGACCATAAGCATCCCAAAGAAAAGATTTATAAATACCAAATGTTTACCAAGTGCATTGTGGGTTTTATTTAGTTTTCTGTTTTTTTCTTCTTTATGGGGGGTGGGTGTGGGGGGGTTGATTTTATGAGGCCTTAACTTTGCAGTGACTCACTCTATTTTTTTAAGACTGAGACAGAGTTTCTCTTGATCAATGGTGCTAAAAGTCCTCTGTGGGGTCCCGACATCGTTGTTTTTACATCATGTTTGTTTTATTGTAGTTTGTTCGATGTATAAGAGTGTATTATCTCTTCTCAGAAGGAAAACAACATTACACATAAATCTCCTGACACGCAAACACAGAGGAGTCATACACACATCCTGAACCGAGAATCTAATGTGTACACAGAAAGTTCAAATAAAGGCTGAAGTGTGACCCCATCTGTGTGTTTTGTCTTTAAAAGATATTTACTGCGACGTGTTGTCTTAAAATTTAAAAATAAAATCCAACTGCATGCAAACACTGTCGTAAAGGATATTCAAACACGTTTCATTACCTTTTTATATAATTTACAGTTTATTCTCAGTAGAGAAATGGAAGATCCTGAGCGTCACGTTTTATAACTGGGATTCAGTTTGTTTCTCTCAAGACAAGTAACACAAATTGACTGAACTCGTTTAGTTTATTTACATATCAACTTTTACATCAGAAATTATCTCAGCGTGCCCAAAATACAAGTTTAACTCATTCTGTGCTCAAATAAAATTCAAGAAGAATGGAGGCCTGTTTTATCCAGTAAGATTTAATGTTTTAGTGATTACGTACATTGTAATGCCAAAATAAATGAATAAATGGATCCCTCTGAATCTGCTGTTTTATTTCTCATGATGAGCAGGTTTGTGGCGTCCAGCGGTGCAGATGAGAGCTCTGTTGATCATTTTTGACCTATTTTCATTTTTGAAAGTAGAAGGAAAAAAGTTAAACAAATTTGCTCACATACAGATGAGTTGTGGCTTTTGCTCCCACATTTTTTGTGAAAAATGAGCTTGTTGAGATATTCACTGAAATTAGAACAACACACAAGGTTTGTAGAGGGAAAGATGCATGCTTGGTGGTGGGCATAAGGACCACGAACATCAGAAAACACGACAACACGACAAAAAATGGATCAATGATTTATTCTTCAGCATAAAATAGAAACTTTAATTATGAAGGCAGCTTCATACTCATTTTCCATCACTGGCTCTGGAACGAGGTGTACACATTTCTTCCCTCTCCCTGTTCTCCTCCTGCTTTTTTGCTCTCTGTCTGTGTTTTGAAGCAGCTCCTATTTTTACACATCTTCCGAAATGAAAACTACTGTTTTGGATCTGACCAACTGGACTTACGACACAAATGACAAAATCTTTTCAACAAAGTGACAGGGTCCTGGAGAACCCTCATCTGCTCGGACAACAAGCATGCAGCTGGATATATCTCTGGGGGTGATGCATCTGCCTCTTCTGTCGATCGAGGATGCCGAAATTGCATGTAATTGAATTTATGATAACAGGTTTCCTGTTTTTGGAACAGTCTGAATCCTGGTTGATCAACGTACAAAGAGGACAGCCGCAGCTAATTTGGTCCTCGTCAGGCTGCTGCCTATGTGAATGTTGGTTCGTGCTTTGAGGATTCTAAATCAGCTGATTTACAAGCTAAACTGTAAGATGGTTTAAATCGCAGGCCACCTGCGGCTTTGGGACTTGTCAGCATGGAAACGATCTTGAAGAGGTTCATAAGCACGGACCAGTAGAATGCACCTTGATCTGGTCGTTTCGGACCTTGGAAGTCATGACTCAAAGCTGACAAGAAAAATAGTCTGCCTGATTAAATCAACAATTGTGGATTATTTGAATCTGACTCCCCAGCTGGCCTCGAAACAGGCACCCCCCCCCCCCTTCTGTGGAGGCTTATCAGAACTGTGCCGGCTGACCATCATCTTATCAGGACTATGAATTATCTGTTAGTGCTTCATGGACCGCCTCGTCATCAAATGCGCTTCATAAATGTGCTTGCTGGCAGAGTTTTTTTGATGTCTTAAATCGTGTTTTGTTAGGACAAGTAGTGAAGAGATCTTTTTTGTAATGCCACTATCCTCTCCTCATGGCTTTGTCCCTTTTTCTATCTAAAAGATGTATTCTGAAAAGGATAAGAAGGCCGCGCTTTCTAGCAGCAGCTTCGTGCACTCCGCCCATCTTTTAGACGACTGTACGTACATATTCTCGTTGTATCTCAGTGCAGTGATAATAAAGCTTATTCTGATTCTGATAAGGCTCTAATAAATTTGATAGTAGATGTATAAACAAGCATGAAATATAAAAGCTCTAGTGAAGATATTGGGAACCAGTTTAAGTAACTAAGCTTGAAAAAAGTTTTGTACCTGACTCCATCAGGAACACTCTGACAAAATGCAGTCCACTAAGTTTATATTATATTATTATTGTTAGTGTATATCTTAGATCCTTATA